TGTAATACGCGCTTTACGAACAGTTTTCCTCATATTAACAAGCAAAGTTGCAAAGTTTTTATTATGAGCATGCAGATACCTTTTTAAAGTATGTACAACAGAGCGCGCCAATGAAAAGACAGTTTACATAGTCCTATCATAGTATTCCCCCTAGTATAATACCACTATCCGATCAAAGTGCCACCCCGTGTATAGTACTCCATGGTATAACGTGGTTTTGTAAATACCACTGGTACTTTAGTCCGTGAAATACGGTACATTAATAAAAGTAAATTTATACTATTCTTACCGTCTACGACCAGCCTCTGACGGGCAGAGAAGATTACTACTGTGCAGTTTTAAATAGTGGATGTATAGGTCTGGGTATACTAGATACTCATTATCAGGCAGCTGATTTAGAAGCGATTGAAGCAGCGTATGATGGACTGTATGGCATCACAAAAACAACTATCTCGTTAACAGTACTAATAGGAGACAAAGCATAGACGAAGACGTCCATGTAGAGGGCTGATATTCATGCAAACAGTGATTATATTAATTATTGAACGTTTAACATCTCATGTTATTTGTTATAGTTTATTATTTATTAAGGACGAATAAACAGCTACTATTTTTTAATCCTTCATACGTTGAGAATAACTACTTATTAAAAGAAGCATCATCGCTGGTGCAATCCAGTATGATAATCAACCCGATTTTTTTAATGCTGACTTTAGTTATTTTCCCATAAAAAGGTGCAGTAGAATATGTGTACAAACAAACGATATTTGTGACAACATCGAAATGAATATCACTCTGAGCTTATTTCGATTTGGGTCTGTAATTCTCGAAGCCGCGTTTGTACTACGTCGGTACACTGCGAAAATTTATTATTCGCGGGAAAAGTTCAACTTGCAACAACTACAATTCCTTCCTTCTGGTAATGATAAGTGAGCAAAATTCCGGGCTTGTCACTGTTGCAAAGTACCCAACTAACCACAGTTTTCACGCCTTTAGATGCAAGCGACTATACTAATACCCACGTTGATAAGACGCGTAATTTACGCAATTAACCCTCAATTATTCAAGTGGAAGCGTGTCATTCTCAACTTCCATACTCTTGTTGTCTTCAAGAGTGTCGTTACGGGAGTGGGATCTCTCGGCAATTCGTAATGGAAAATGGTTTAAATGCATTCTTGAGATTATTTGCGAATTCAAAGTCTGGTTGCTCTGTGTTGGTTGAAGTGGAATACAGATTGGAATAGACTCTAGGATGAAAACCAGGGATATTAATCAGCACAGCTAATTGCTCTACGACGGAATGTGAGTGGTTACGACTGTTTCGGTTTCTTCATCCAACGATAAAATTAAATAGTATGAACCAATCTTTAGAAATCGGACGAGAATTCGTTTGCTATTGAAAGTACGCTAGTCTCCTGGTTTAGTATGCCTTGTTCGAGTGCAACGACGAACCTCTTGGACTGGGATTTTGGCGACGTCCGTTTGATCACTATTGACACCGCACCTAAGTTTGTGAATCAAACGGATAACATTATAATTTGGCAATGTTGTATACTAGCGAAATCGGATTGGGAAAAGGCGAGCGGATTCAAATGCAGCTACCGAAGATAAGTTTGGAGACTGAATCAGACGTCGGGATATTCGCTTACTTATGGGATGGAGGTATGATATTAGGGTAACCATTCATGTCGCAATTGCGGTCTTTCTTTTGTTTATGAATTTGTCTTGATTATTTTTTTTGCTATTCACTTCCATCTCTATAGATCGAGATTGCTTTGTAAAGGAAAATTTCGGTTTTAAAGTCTATGCATTGGAGAAGGGAATTCAAGTGTGCGAAGTGGGAGTGTAGTTCCGTACGTCAAATATAATAATGACGGGACCTGTTCACGCTCGCAATTCTTTTGCCTTCATCTACATTTCTGCAGTTGTTACTTAATATGAGGTGTAACTGACTTTATTCAGGCGAAAAAGGCAGACTTGACTTGAAGATTACGGACCGGTCCACGGACTTGATCCGCGATATCAAACCATTTTTGAAAAAATCTTGACTTAAGAACAATGATGCGTAATGAATGTTTATTATTGCAACTGGCTAGATTTGTCCAGACTCTCGGCCAGAGGCTAGGAATGAAAACTATTCTGCACAGTCGATATGATGTTGGCATCTGTGGTTGACACACTTGTATATGGCAATTTTATTCCCGTTGTGGGAATGCCCTTACACTTGCAGCATACCTTTACAGATGCCATATTATGCAAAGTAGTAGTTATAGATCTTCGGTGTATTGACTACTCATAACACCGTCGAGAGCAGGTATGAGATCAACTTTTTATCATCTCTCCAGGCTTTTTCTCTAAATTGGTTGACTTCTTACTACCTGTTCTCTCGCAATGGACTATTACTAGGCATTCTTGTCATTAAGTGGCCATCGCATCTATAAAGGCTTCAAATAACATACTTCAATGTCTAATGGAATAAGATCCGAGCTAGAATCTTGCCTTCTTTGCCGACTGCATTGATTCATTTGAAAAGAGTGTCGAGTGATCTACGCAATTAACAGTAGAATTGCACGACATTATTTCGGTATCTTTTTAACTCGACCCATATTACATTTATCGGAACGGGAGTAAATCCTTGAATATAGGGTACAACTGTGAATTACATGTTTATTCAAAAATGTTTAAGTCGCTAAATCATAAGCAACGGACAATGCTAATATTGTATATTGACTATGTTTATATAAACAGAACCAATTGCTGTCTTCGAATCCAAACTATCTCTCTTGCTCCTCTTCAACTTTCCTTAATTGTTCTCAAAATTTGGTAAGATGAAATTTGACCCCACAGGAGGTATGAGCGTACTGGAATATTTACTCTCCTTCTCGAGGCGCGATAAGGGTTTTACATCAGTATGATAGATAATATTCCACCTGTTGTCACCAAGACTCTTCGCAATAAGCAGACCCATGTCCGTAGAAAGCCCAAATGCATCAGGACGCTTATTGGGATCAGTATCACAACACCGCTCGGCAAGTTTCTTGTATTCCTCTGGTGCGGAATCAGGCATCGATGGTCGTAGTCCGTCCATAA